ATATATATATATATATAGACAATACTTAATCAAAAACTTTTAAGCAAAAGTTCGATAATATTCAAATGTTCATTGTTTATCTGCCTTACCTTTGTTTTATTTACTTCTTTTTATATTTTATATTCAAACTTCTCATTTTATTTTACTTAATTTGTTGTACTTATTTATTTACTGTGTTTATTGTACTGATTAAAAAACTTTATATAGCCTCAATTATTAATCGTTTTTTTTTTATTATTTGTTTTAGGTGGCCTGAGCTTAAGTGTCTCCGGAATTATACAGGCCTCCATTCATTTATCAATAAAAAAAAACCAAATTTTCTTTTTTCTCTTGTGAAATGTAAATAATTTACTGAATAAATAGTAACTGTAACAGTAATTGTTAATTAACATATCTCTCTCCATCACATTTTTAATACTATCACAAATCCCATAAATTGTGACTGTACTTATTATTAAACAAATATTATATACAAAGAAACATCATAATTAACACTTCGTTTTATACGATCAATTATTGTATTTCTAAGAGCATTGTTATCATTAACCTTAATGTTAAGCAAGATATATTGATACTATGTAGTAATGGAGTTTACAATATTTATTTAAACCAATTAATGCTTATTAAGCTTGCTCTGAGTAGTGTCTGATTTTTGCGTTGTTACGCACTGACACCCATATACTAAGGTAAGAAACATGACAGTCTCCCAGACATGTATTTTAACATCGTTAGAGGGCCTACCAACATTCTGAAGAAAGAAAAAAAAAACCGCTTTTTGGCATTTTTTAACCCTATCTTCACAATGTTGAGTGGACTATTTGAGAGAATAACGCCATGGTAGGTCATTGTTTCAGTGACATTTAGTTTGCACTCATCCAGCAGTCTTCCAACTCACATTAGAAATATCTTAGATCCTAATCTTTTTAAACATGTACTCAAGACTTACTTGTTTGCTTAAGCCTCTTTTTGCTACTTTTTCTTTTTGTGTTTTTATTGTTTTTAATTTAACTTTGCAAACTGCTTTGTTTTTGTTGATTGTGTGACTGTACTATTGTAACGCATTGGGTTCCTGAATAATGATTGATTTTATGCCTACCATTGTTTTCCTGAATTATTGAGGCTTGACTTGCGCTTCATAACCGCAAGAGAAAAGCGCAATATAAATACCCAATACCAGTATCAGTACCAGTACCAGAAACCATGATGGATCAGGGTAAAGTGTGTTCTTGCCAAATATGGTACATGTATTTTTACAGGGGTTTAATCGTAGTGTAACCCATGAAATGACATATATTCATTAGCATACTTGATTAACATTTGAAGGCGAGTAGTAGTTAGGCTTACAAGTAGTAAGTCATCGGCATTACAAAATGCATTGAAAGTTGAATTTGCAATGACAACACTACATTCGAGGGCATTTAAACTATCAACAAGGTCTTTGTAAAAGAAGCAAAAGGTGATGATAGTCCAACATATCTTGTAACTTTACGAATGTTGATTTGACTACCATATTTATCTTTCCATACCATGATAGTAGACAACGCCACCATTCATCATCGATTTCGCCACTTAGTTTTTTCAAATATTATGTCTTAAGGTAATCGCATCAAAGGCCCATTCTGCATCTAACACTAGTTATAGTACGCACATATTTGGGGACGTACTAAGTTTTCTGTATGATAACACGTCAGTTAGGGTAAAACATCACAGATCTTATGATACTTTTCTGACTCAAACTCATCTTTATTTATTAAACCTGCCATCCCACTTTATATTACTTTGAATATGCACTCTAAGTAGCTGTATACGCTGAGAAACTGGAAGTAACTCACCTCCCAGATCGGAGGAATGAACTACAGTTCCTTTCTCAGAAAATGAATGTGCATAAATTGAAAATTGATAGATTTGGAACTATGTCGTTGATATCGCACTAGCTTTGCAGATTGTCAAGATGACTTTGAAGTTTGCTAACACCTGCTTTTCTCACTGTACTCATCAATAACCGACTGGTAAATCGTTTACAAATTTCGATCGTTCTGGCATCTGTCATCAGGTCATTTACTATTACTGTAAAAACGAATGGGTCCTAACTTGGTTCCTTGTGGAACACCACAAGTAATCGACTCAGTAGTAGAAATTGCCGCACCCAAACGTATATATTGAGTTCTTTTAGACAAGAAACTACACACATTTGATAGTATAGGAAGTGAAAATGAGTTTATTAATTAATTTATTAATTAAGCTTTATTAACTCTGCTGTACAGTTTGACGCATACATTTCACGTCTGTCTGTAACTGACCAAATGATATCAAAGTTGGATTAATTAATGTGTTAATCAGCAAACTTTTGAGTTACCAAATTGTTGACGACAAGTAAGAGGACAGAAAGCTGATGATATCAAATCCGCCTAAAAAACTCTCCAAGACACGTCCAAAGGTTGGTTTTATAGCTAATGGACGGTTCTCATCGGGTCTCGTTGCACCTAGGGAAGAAAAAAACGTAGCCTCTACCGGGACTCGAAACCCGGGACTTTTCGCATACATGGCGAAATTTACCACGAAGGCACTGTGGTGATTCAAGCGTTTGGTAGAATTTAAGTACGTTGCACATTTTTTTTTTTCTGACGTGTCTGAAGTCACGATGTTGATAAAGCACTATTATCGCACGTGGCCAAACTAGTCAGAAATCTATAAGGTATGCCTTTTTCTGAGCATATAACTCTGGAAGTCGAGTGCGATGTTAGTGCTACATCAAAATCCTGACTTCAGACACGTTAAAACATCCTGGGGTCGAGTCCCGGTGGAGGCTGAGTTTTTCCTAGTTAGATTCCTCTTCGGTCAGTATTTAATTTATATATTTGTAAGATTCCTCTTCTGTTGTTATTTAATTATATATACTGTCTCTTATACACATCTAGATGTGTATAAGAGACAGGTTTTATTGGCCCAAGATGGAAAGCGATGTCTCTAGCTACATCAAAGCCTGTGGTAGGTGTATTCGGCGGAAGACACCACCATCAGCCTGTCCCAAAGCCCCCTTAGTTAGCATTAGAACAAGTGAGGCCATGGAGTTAGTATCCATGGATTACCTTTCACCAGAAAAATCAAAGGGTGGGTATAATAGCATCCTTGTAATCACTGATCATTTCACTAGATACGCACAGGCCAT